TTGGTTATGTTTTTTTTACAAATCATAATGATTATTAAAATGTAACAACTTTGGAAAAAAAATAGTTCTTATCAATTAACATTACAGACTTATAATTAATAAATAACTTAATACATTTACTAGAAATTTGTTATGTATGTCTAATTTAGTATCAAATGACAATCAACTGTGAATATTTTAAATATTATAAGAATATAATGTCCTTTTCTATAGATATTTTTTTAACTTCCCAACCATTGAAAATTAATATTAAAGATTCTTTTATGAAATCCTTTATTATAATTTATTTAAGTCAAAAAAAGTAGTAAAACATACAATGTTATAAAAGAAATGTGATGCACAAAGGACACTTATCTCTAATAGAGATCTCTTTCAGAATCCCTTTTGATTTAGGAAACAAGAGCAAAAATTGTGATGTGGATACAAATAAGAGATATACTTAAATAGGTATACAAACAAAAACAAAACATTGGAAAACTTAGACATTATACAAATATGCATTAGTGTGCATTTATATATAAATACACAATATATGTCTACATACATATATAATTCATCGAAAAAATATTACTTATCGGAATTTGGGTAACAGTGAGAGATGTTTCTTAAGTCGATGTTTAAAGAAAAGTGCACTTGGACGCTCTTTGTAAACAGAAAGCGGGAGTGTGTTCCAAAGTTGTGAGCCTTGGACAGGGAAGAATTTACGATAAAATTTTGTTTATTATAATTTACAAATGTACAAATAATTATAATTCCTCTAGTCCTCTATAAATTTGATATCTATAAGAATAAATGTTCAATTAAACAATTAGAATAATATAATATTAATATGCATTTAAAAGTAATAAATAGCATTTGTGTAACATAATTTAATATTAATAACAGCGTTAAATACTTTGTAGTCTAGCATCGTAATGATGTTTGCCAGTTTTCTATAGTTCTGCTTTATTATATATCTTTTCCATCTTAAGTTTCTCTCTTATTTCTTCGATTTTTCATATTTATATGATATAAAATTACTTACGCCGACTAAGTATTTCATAAAGCTCATTCTGGGTGGAATGAAACCTTTTTCTTACATTTTTTTCGTATCCATTGTAAAGACTTATCGAGATCATTTTGAAATAATCTTCAATAAAAAATAAAAGATTTTTGTTTCCAAAATAATTTTAGAAACCCTTAAATAATTTCAATAATAAGCTAAAAGACAACACTAAAACTATTTATATGATTTGCATTTATATAAAACACCTAAAATTTATTAAATAAAGAAAGATAAATGTGATAATTTAGGTTGCTTGAAATAATTACACTTGCATAAGCGTTGATAAAACTAATTAGGGTTTGTTTTTTCCGTCGTTCCAGTGCCCATTAATATTCGTTGACACTAAAATTAGGTACAATATCATAATAACATCGTGAAAAATAACAGTGTAGTAATACTTATAAACAGAATAAACTGAGTGGACAATAAATGAGATCTAAGACTTTTGCTTTATGTTGTAAAAAAACCTCTAAACTCCCGGCGTCTCGTTCACTTTTGAGCAACCGTGTTTATGTGCAGATGAGTTATGAACTCCGGGAGTATGTTGTTTTTTACAAAAATAAAGCACGCGTAGTATATCCATAAAATATTAATTTCCATTTGAGTGGACAACTTCATTCATTGACAGTGCAAGTTCGAGTAGAAATTAAGATAATTCCGAAATAATTATAATAATCATTCACGTTTTTCTTTCTGTAACGTTAAATTTAACCAAGATGGTTTTGAATAACACCAAGTTAAACAGTTTTCTACTTTTTGTCATTTAATGTGTTTAACTTGTAATTTAGTACTAAGGCTCCTATCAACTGTTTTTTAAACATTTTTTGTAATAAAAATAAATAAAATATAATTATTATGATTTATAGTAATTTTATAGATTGCATCCAACTGGAGTTTCTTATCTATTCCGGTTGCTTTGTTAACTTTGTTAAATTATAACTCTTACAGTGAAAACTTTTTATTGTTAAAATTAATATAGTCATGTTTTCGAAACTTATGTATGCATATGTACATATATAACGCTCCCCTTTTAATTTCTATATTTAATACAACACGTAAAAAAAACTGTTACACGATACTGGCAGAATATACTGTGCACGTCTTTTCAAGGATGAAGGCAATATTTTAAACAAACAAACACAAACCATACTGTTAATTGTCTTATCTTATTCTTTTAGTAGTAAAAAATATAGTCATATTTCTTATATAGATGTTCAATTAATTAATTAATTCTTTTAAATTTCGAACTTAATCCGTAATCTTTTCAATTTCGAATTATTTACCCATTTGCCCTATCTCATTGTTTCCATTTAGTTATTTAAAAATTTCACAAGAAGAAAATTACTAAATGAGACTTTTTGACCATTTGATATTAACAATATATTTGTCAGGACGTTATAAAAAAACACTTTTAGTAAATATTAATATAAAGTATATTTTTATATGACCACACAGTAAACAAGATTATAATTCGACCAACAATAACGTTAACATTGGCACAATACGTCACGATTTCCGGTACGAATGTAAGCATAGTTTTTTAAAAAAGTATGCAAGCAAAAAGTAGTTTAACAATTTATATTCAAAGCATCAAATCAAATCGGAGCAGGTTTACTTTAATAGTGTGGACATTATTAATAAAATTATGTAACAATCGTAGACTATGAGGGAAATATTATTAATTTATTAGGAACTAGCTTTTGCCGCGACTTCGTCCGCGTGGAATAGTGACTTCCGGCAGATTTTTGGTTCTTCCCACATAGTTCACGTTCTTGCGGGGTTTTCGGAATGGTCGAGTTCCCGTTGAGTTTTCAGGATAAAACCTATGTTTTTTTTATTCACAATGAAGAACTTTTCGAACTTAAACCAAAAACATAATATTTATTTGTTTATTTGAATAAAGATTAAATATTAATATGTTTACAAAACTTAAGCAAATTATTTCGAGCAAATAAGGTACCATAACAACGGTTTTTGTGAGTTATTTTTAAAGATAGACACATACTGTCGCGGACTGTTTTTTTTTAGATTATTAAAAGAGCTATTATTCTTCAATATGTATTTTTGTGTATCTTGAACCGTTTTCACAGCGCACGCAATGGAAAGGCTTCAAAGATAAATTAATTTCTCCCGTTTTTTTACACATTTACCAACTATATCTTTGCTCCTATTGGTCGTAGCGTGATGTTATATAGCCCCACAGCCTTCCTCGATAACTGGGACTATCCAACACAAAACGAATTATTCAATTCGAACCAGTAGTTTCGGAGATTAGCGCTTTCAACAAACAAAACAAACTCTTCAGCTTTATAATATTAGTATAGATAAAATCCTTTATTATAAAAGATATTATCTTTGTTTAAGTTTTTTATATCTGTTGAGCAGAAATACATTTATATTTTCCTTTTTTGTATTAATTACCGGCTATTTATTTTAAGGCCTCTCGTTCTGGTCCTGTATGGTATATGATACAGAAACGTTCAAATATAATAAGGTTTCGCATAAATTTGGAACAAAAAATATATACATATATGTAAAATTTAATAAATCCTGATATATGAGAAACCGTGAATCAAAAATATAATCATATTGGTATAACAGATGGCTGAAAGGCCTAAAGTTAATTTTGTATATTATTATATAACGCCTCTTTTTTCTGTTCTATTACAAACTTATTTTAGGACATAGATATTGTTTTTTTGTTTTCAGATGTAATAAATGAACCAGCAAAAAAAAAATGTAATTGTAGTTGTAGTGTAGATGTACATCTGGTTCTCAATAAATGTTGGTTTTATTTTTCCAAAATATTGCCTATAAATGAAATATGCTATCTCGAATATTTTCGAAGTTTTTGAAAACACGGTATGTTCAAACTTTTATATTTACCTGACTATATATATTGGGCAAAAAGCGATATTTCTATAGTAAATAAATCGATACTTCGCTTTCTGTGATTTTATTTTTGATAGTGTATTATAGAGTATAAGGAAAAGTAAAAATTGGAAATTACGGTATGAATTGGTACAAAATATAATTATTATATAATAAGGCTGGCCATTTAGCACTAAAATCTTGCTTAAAAATATTAAGTAAATTTATTTCAATGTTTGTGTTCTTCTAGCTCCGATTACAATGAAATTATTCTAAGAATTATTATTATTACTTAATTATTTGTCTGTTATATTAAAAATAACACACTTATTTTCGTTCGCTATTGTAACTTTTGAGATATTTTTTTTATATTTTTTTCATCACAGTTCATTTATTTTTATATTTTAAATTATTATTAGAGGCAAGACAAAGGTCTTTATTGTGTTTTGAATGTTATATAAGTAAGGAAATTCTATCAAAATAATAATTACCTAAACTAGTTTTAAAGAACTTTAAACAATTAATGTTAGATCACTTAATTTTATCAGAAACTTGTGAAAGTGCTAACAATTCCACTACATAATAAAAAACTTGTCATAGAAAATGTCTTTATTAATGAACCAAAATTGTGTAACTTTGTATTTATGTTTGAACTTTTGCATATTTAATTAATACTTATTCACGTTATTGCATCATACTAAAATCTAAATAGATGTTTATATAATTTTGAAATATTCAAAGGTAATTAAATATAGCCTCTAAATGATTCATATGAGGATACATTTTGCATAAAATAAAAATATTTAAGTACAGACCTTTTACCATATTATACTGTCCTTTTTGGAATCTACGTCATATACTAATTAGCTTATTCCGACAGAAATAGTATATATTTTTTTATGATTTTTAATTTGCTACTAAATTTGCGTCGTATTTTGAGTTAATAAAAATAAAACGTTTTGTTTTATTTTTTATTGAAAATAAGACGTGTAAGTAACATTAATTCACTTTTGTCGTGAATAATATAAAATTCAAAATAGTTTGTTATTTATGGTACAGCCCATTTTATTTTGTTGATTAAAAGCTGAGAAAACGTCCCTCGAGCTTCAGCGAGAAACCTCTGCACGTGACCCAATCCGCGTTGAATCTGTTTCTCAGGAATACGTTCATTTGGGCTTTAGTTAGGGTACTATAAAGCTCTGAATATGTCCCTCCCGTGACCTACTTTATAACATTTTCGTTCAATAGGAACGTACTTTAAAAACAATTTAACAAGCAATACACTCTTTGTATAATATATTTTTTTTATTTTAACATAAAACTAAACAAGTAAATATATACTATATTTCAAAGATATTTCAACATTGAAATATAATATTTAACTTCATGTTAGTGATTAGTATAGTTAATAAAAAAACATGAAATTTAATGAGAACCAATGATTAGGTATAGAAACAGTTTATATGCGAAACATTAATAACTATGACAAAAGCAATTACTTGAATGTTTTAAAATACTATCGTTGGATAAAAATTAAAATATATAGTACGAACGTAAACTATGAAATAGCAAAACATATTGTTCTTCAATAACAATTAACCAAATCTCTTAAGCTCATAGACGTCTTCTAAGTTTGACCTTGCTCTGAACTGTATCTAAAATTGAGTTGTTATATGGCGCTAGCTTTTAATTTGAATCGATATCTTAGATCTGTTTATTGTATGTTTTATATTTTATAAATTGCCCGTGTTGATTTACTAACTAATTACATTTTTAATTAAAAAATCTTCTTTAAAATCAACATACAATGGTAAGCTTTGTTGAGAGCAAAAGTTAGAAATTTCCGTTAAGATGAATTATCAAAGTTCATAATGATATTTTCTCCTTTGATCTGTTTTACGAATTATATGAAGTTTCTGTTCTCGAAATGAAAGTATTCTATGGACAGCTATATTTAATCTTTCCCAAATTGATAATCTCTCCGAGTCAGTCAAGGTCAATTGATACAAATTTATTTTATTATCTTTTAGTGATAATGATATCCTTTAACTTATAAATGCAACTATGTTTAGTAATACGAAGATTTTGGATACCCTTGTCATATTTATTTGAACTACATCAAAATTTTTAGGTATTGTACACGAAGATCGCTGTAGGTCTATGGCAAAGTTCCCTAGGTCTAGAACAGTTGGGTCAAGGTCAGTGCTGTGCCACGCAATGTCCACGGGCTGAGAAACCCCTAGCCAGTGAATCGCACAAGACGTTTGACGGCAGTATGGAAACAAAGGTATGCTTAATAGTATCGTAATGAACTTTATACGCTTCAAAGGTATAATCAAGACGGATTGGTCGAATAACCTTATCCTATTTTATTTTCTTTTTGATCTTTGTTCTTCAATAAAACTTGTAAAATGTTTATACATGCTTTATTTATTTTTTAGAATCAAATATAATGTTACAACTACTCTTTTCCGTTATTGATATAGAACAACGCAATTGATCTAATATACAGGATGACTGGTGAATTACTATCAATATTTAAGGAGCATATTCAGTACATGATTTTCATTCGAATTATGTAAAAAAAATAGGTAATTAATTTTTTACCAAATTTCCGTATAAATAAATAAAGTGTGTACACGTTCCAAGTGTTCTAAGTGTGTACGCGTCCGGCGGCGTGCTGATACAACACCACGCCGCCGCGCGAGTGTGTGTGTGTGTGTATACCTAATCTGTAGGGTGTTCACACGATGCGTAATTAATTACATAACTTTTGGTTAACTTTACTCAGAAGTTTATTAATATTTATATTATATTAATTTTTTATTTTTGTCATATATGATCGTCAAATATCACGTCCTCAAGTATCGATAGTAATTCACCAGTCACCCTGTATAACAAGTCATATATGTAAAGCCCTAAGCAACTTATTAAATTACTTACCAATTATCATGTACATAAGATAAACCTAAGTATCATATCCGAAAATATTCAACAATAATTTGTTCAGTGGAATTTAAGTGATCCAAATTACAAAAGTGTCTTCTTACTTTAGACATAACCAAATCCACGGTTTATTGATATTACGCTCAATTTATCTATGAAGCTTTACATCTCTTGAATCTCTAGATTTTATCTTTTGATAATTTTTTCCAGCTAAATGGATTTTTAATGCGTCTAAATTTATTATTTACTATTTGAAGTTTAAACAATAAATGTTTTTGCTAAATTCATAATCACATCTTACAATAACTTTTTAAAATAACAATTTACGTTAACGGTAACGTAACAGTTTTGGTATTTTTTTTGTATTATACTATCTAAGATAAGAATAAATTTTTGGAGCTACTATAATATTATTAGGAAAGAAAAAAAAAAAAAAACAACAAAGAATGATTATTATTATTCTTTTATGTCTATATCAGTGTACCAGAAATATTAACATCACAATTTATTTGTCCTAGGAGAGAACCCCAGCTAAGACGTCAAAAATCATTTAGGCACAAATCTCGCAGTTGTCATCACTTAAGTCATCTCTCCCGTAACGTGCTACGTGCACGCCGTGGAGTTGTGCGCATGTTTGATAGTTGTCGTGCTTACATTCGCCGTATGTAACTTACCTTTCCACGCAAGAAAAAATGTGGCAGTATTGGTCGAGTGGCTACCAGGGAACAAGCAATTTCAGCGCTCTTCTCACGCCGCTGACATTCCTCATAACTTATTTCAACTCGGGCATCAACCCGTTGCTATACGCTTTCCTGTCGAAGAATTTTCGCAAGGGAATGAAAGAGCTCCTATTTTGCAACATACATGGAAAGCGAAAGAGCGATAACTTGATACTATTAAACAGAGTTGGTGGTGTAGGTCTGCGCCGAAGTTCAACACGATCAACACGTGCCAACTGCAGCACTGTCACAATGGCACCTAACGGTGAATCATGAGGGTTACATCGCCGCAGATTCCTTTACAAGATAGAAAACACTGATATTTCCTGATTAACGGAGAGCACCGACGAGGTGACAGATAGCAGCGGTTTATATACAATATCAAAAAGGGATTTGTATGATTAAACTGTGAAAAGAAAGTTAACACATGCTGCCTATCGTTTGCGTCGGAAATGTAATGGACATTGGTGAAATTAGTGATCTCATGAGCTTACTGTAGTACGTAAACAAAGTGACCTCTGTAGTTACGCTCTTGTGCTAAAGTGTATTAAAACTAATTCTCTATTAAGTGCATAAACTAATACAAAAATATTATATTTTGTAAACGTTTCATGTGTAATTTACCTTAGCGATACATGTTATAAAATTTTAATAATAAGTAGTACTTTTTATTAAACATTATTGTTAAATATTTGTATGCATTAAAATTGTAGTTTGTTAAATCTATGTAAAGTTAAAAAAACTAAGAGTTATAAGTTAGAATTTTTTTTATACATCTACTTCTTACTTTTCCATTCTAGCTCAAGCAAGGACACCCGCTGACTATAAATTGTCGTTGTTAAAATATTGTTTTAATACGTATTAATTTTTTTTAGTTGATTTAACCGATGAACACTTGTTACCAAAGTCTAGATATACATATATTTTTTTTTATTATTTCTTATATCAATAATTTTTCACAGTATTTTATATTAAAAATATGATAAAAAAAGTAATCCTAAAAACCTCGCTTCATCTTATTTCTATGGTTCAAGAAGTTAACTAGCTTCCCAAGATATCGCTGCAGCGATGGTAGCTTGCACTTCAGTGAAATGGATTTTTTTAAGATGAGGATGGCATTTCTTATCCCGCCAATGCTTAAAACGTTTTTTCTATTTAGTGAATATTTATCAAGGACTAGCTGACCCGGCAGACTTCGTACTGCCTCAATCAAGAAGTAAATTATGTCTTGTTTTATTTTTTGGTGTTTACCTTTAAGCCATAAATCTCCGTGTTCTGAAGTGCTACAAAATTATTGACATATTAGTTAGTTGTCAAATCTAATATTAAAAAACCGTTTGCATGGGAAATAAAAAAAGCGCTGTTTTTAGGGTATTAGCGGAAAATTATTAAAAATTTTTCAGCTTTTAAACCTTCCCTGAACCTCCACAAACATTTTCAAGACTATGATAAGATAAATCCGTTCAGTCGTTCTCAAGTTTTATTGAGACCAAGGAACAGCAATTCATTTATATATATATATATATATATATATATATATATATATACATATAGATAATTTATTTTTTATGTGGACTTAAGTTATGAGAATACAATGCAACAGTAACTTATTTTTTTTTCTACTAATTTTTTTTTTTTACTAAGAAAGATTTTTGCTAATAAGATATCGTCCACAGTTTATATTGGTTGACTTTTTATGAAGTAAAATCGAATCTGAAGATGTCACAAATGTGCTAATTAAATCAAACATCATTAATATATTTCATATTATTTAATAATAAATATTTTTCTTCCTTTTTGCATCTCAAATTTTCTTCCTTAAAATGTTACTAAAATTCATAGTTTACAATTTCATTTTTTCTCTATAAAAATATGTACCGTTAATAGATTCTGTAGAGTTTTCATTTTACTATAATAAGATAGTTATAGAAACCATGGCTTTTATGTTGGTAGCAAATAAGAAACAATAAGTTAGGAATCCTCCTAAGTCATCCGAAAAAGCTCTAAAAAAGTGACAACGAAAAAATCTGAAGAATAATAAAATACGTATACGTGTGTATTAATATAAGATAAAATATATGATTTTATTCTCTCAGCAGGAATAAGATAAAAATATGTGAAAAATGTGAGAGATAGATTTTTATACTGCTGCATTATAGATTCATATACATACATGTAAATATTGCTGTTTATATTTCTAACAATAAAATGTTATCTAAACTACGATTTATTCTCTAGTCATTACTTAAAGTTTCGCCTAGAATATAGATTTTTAAATGTTGTGTAAAAACATATTTATGTAACATTAAACCATATCATATGCTGATCTTCCATCATATTGTAAAAATGTAAATAAATTTAAATCTTCCTAAAAAATTTATCATTGTATCTGAAGTTATATGTAATAAATCGTATTTAATTTTTTATTCATATGGTAGGAATGATTTATATAATTTCCAATAATGTCATGTTTCAATATATGTAGAGGTTATTTTAAAAAGGCCCAATCTATAATCATTTCCAAATTGAGGTAGTTAAAATAAAAAACATTTTCTTTTACAGGTTTTAATTACCGATCATAAGAAACCTTGATGTAATTGAATAATATGAGTAAGTAAAAAGTGACATAATTGAGATGCGAAATATTTCTTATTACAAGAAAATACTGTAATAATTTCTTTCTACTTTACTTAATTTCCCTATTGCAATGTATTGCAATATTGTAGTCAATAAACATTTTTGATGATAAACTAGGATTTACATTTAAGAAAATGTAAAAGTTTGGTAATAAATAAGTTACAAAAATGAAGAGGGTAAAAAATAAGTCAATAAAGGACGAATTTTATGGGACACAATTTTATTTAGTATCGCCGTTGCAGCTGGCCATAATATAATGGATCAACGTCACATAAATTATTGTATGAAACTTTTTTCTTTCTTTTTTATACTTCTGTAAAATTATCTTTTTGATTCATTATTTCAGTAACATATTTATTATAATAAGTCATTTTATATTTATTTTAGTAAAGCTAATTCTATTACTTAAATTAGTTTAGAAGCACCAAATAAAATTATAATAAATTCAAGTGCCTCTTTCAAATGCCTTGAAACAAGTATTTCTCTTCGCATTATCCAAAAATTATGGTCAAGCCTGCTAACGATTGCCCTTTAATATATCATACACATAATATTATAAATATTATTATTACTGCCATTAAGTCCCAAGGTTAATCCTATAAAAAAGTGTTTTTTATACAAATGTACATTTTTAAGGCTCACGTAATTATGACACATTATTTTAATTAAATCTTTTTAAAAACCTCATCTTGAAAAATATTACCATTTATTATCAGGATAAAAGGTTTCAAATTAGCCAATCTAAGGATTATGAATTTTCAGAAAAAAACACAATTAAAATATTTATATTAAAAGAAAAATTATTTGTACGAACGTTTGAGAAGAACGAGATAAGGTAATTAATTAATAAATATATGTATAACAATGTTTTAAAAGAAAATATTCTATAATACAAGTAAATAATATGTGAAACAAAGCATAGCTTAGCTAAGCATTCAATAGATTCACCGTGCGGGTTCCGGGTCCATTGCGTTGCAGGTAGAGGAGCTTCGACAGTGCCTGGGACTTGCGACCCAGGTGTAGGTTTCAGGGGCCCTACAACGCGCGTTAAACGCTCAACTCCACCGTCAAAGCTCTCTCTACCTAACCAAATTTGAAAAATCCTGCTAGAATTGATTAATGTGATATCTGGACAGGCCTAAGTCTTTCAGGAGGTTGTAGAGAAATTTAGCTGTTATACCTCTCGCTCCCACTTCTACTGTGTAAATTAAGCTAAATACCAGTTGGACTAAAACCAGAGATGACTTTCATAAAGATTAACTTAACCTGGTTATAGAACTACTTATATACATATACATACATATGTATTATGTGTACGGATTTCACGTCATTGGTATTGAAGTTATACAAAGTACTCCAGCACAGTTTGTTTATCTTGATTGCTAGTATATATGTGGCTCAAAGAGACTTCTATATAAAATTGATTCTTTATAGAAAATAAGTTTTAAAATAATTACACAAAAACTTGAAATATGTATAGTGTCCACACGGGGCCATGATTTGTACGTTAAGGCGACACCTTCAGTAAAAATTTCCATTACCAACTGTAACAAAATATCTTCTGTTTTATTGTGGACGATAAATAGTTCTTACTGTCTTAATAGGTGCAAATTGATACTCAATATCATATGGAAAAACATACATATAATCCTGTTGAAAGAAATTTTCCCTCTTATTTAAATGAATAACGAAAACCTTTAAGTGAAGGTAAATCAACCAAAAGACTCAACAGCAATATAAAAATCGGAAATATATCAAGTTGGGAGACATGATCTCTTTAACATTCACCTTATCCCCAGTTTTGTTCAATGATTGAACGACAGTAATTAATGAGTCTCCGCTCTTTTTCAAGTAAAGGTTTTAAAAATTAGGAAACATCGCCAGTGAATTAAAGACCTCATTAAGTTTGGTGTTTTTAAGGAAGCCAATTCCTCTGCAAATTCGAATGATGGACACCTTCCCTAATTTGAAGCTTCAGTAAATATACGGTTCCCCTTGGGCCTCTCATCTCGTAAATTCGTTCTGTAAAATGATTACTATACATTCCTGATATAAAAAACTATTAAAGTGGTAAAGTCGAGAATTTCTTCGCCAATATGCCGTATTTACAGTCCAAAATATTACTTTTGACAATAAATTTAAAAGATGAAGTAATAAGTTCAATATGTAATAATAAAACCTTTAAGTGAATATAAATTTTAAAATAAAGCAAGAATTTGACTTTTTGGTTCCGATCATTTTAAAAATTTATCAGTTTTCTGTTTGTAATTAATAATTTTTCATTATAAATTACATGTCTTTTTCAGTCCATGTCTTTTTTCAGTCGTTATAATAGTTCCAAATTTTAAATATTAAACTTTTAAAATGCACGAGTAAGTTTTACTTTATACTTTTTTTTTGATGACGCTGGGAAACTCTTTTTAACGAGCCGTCAGACGGCCTTGGTGGGGCCGGAAGGGATGTGTGAGGCTCGGCCTGGGCAGGCCCCTACTCACTAAGACCACTGCGAAAGCCATCGGCCGCTATGTCGGTGTACCCCGGATCTGTCAGCGACAGGGCACACCAGCGACTGGCCGGTCCTGGCAAAGACCGGACTTAGTCCCTAGGAGAATGGGGGCGATCCCGGCAATCAGGACCAC